GTGGTGGTGGTGGTGGTCATGGGGGAGGAGGTGGTGGTCATGGTGGTGGTGGTCATGGGGGAGGAGGTGGTGGTGATGGTGGTGGTGGTGGTGGTGGCGGCGGCGGTTGCGGCGGTGGAGGCGGCTTTTGAGGTTGTGGACATTAATTCATATTAACAGCGGAGGCGGAGGTGGAGGCGAAGGTGGCAGCGACGGCGGTAGCGAATTCTTCTTTTAATATTTTTTTATTTGCTAATGTAAGGGTTCAATAAGGCCGTAATTCTCAATACAGTTACGCGTATATATATCACAAGTTATGAACAAATAAGGGCTTCACGATTGAAGCATGGTTTCAAATTTCAGCAACCAAAAATAAAGTTTGCATTGTCCGTAAAGCTTTGCACCATATTCTGATATGCTACAAATTAATTAACCTGAGATTATTGCAAAAATGATATGTTAAGTCTTTTTCGTTTAGTTCATGTATTCAGAATCATTTTTTATTTACGTGTATTTTTTATGAGAGAAAATACTGTAACAAACTATAAACCTGATTCAAATCATGACACGAATATACCAACCAAACACAAGAAAAAAATAGTTTACAAGTGATAATTTTTAATATTTATTGATATTGTATAAGTTTTATTTTCTCATGATGATATTTGTTTTCTATCTTTTGATTCAACAAGAATTATTTTAATTTTTTTTCCCATCATTATACACATAACAACAAAAAGAAACGATTGCAGGTCTTAAAAGATTGTCACCCAGTTGAGGAGGTTAATGTTTTTATGATGATTATTCCAACTTAAACGATTTTTATGATGATTATTCCAACTTAACTCGTTTAGATGTTGAATGGGTATGTACTAAAGAAGAAAATGAAAGAAAGAGAAAAAAAAAATGTACTTTTATAAACGATTAACTTACAAATGTGAGCTTGCTAATTTAAAATTAATCATGTAAGTTTACATTTTTATTGCTGAACTATGTACTTTTATGAAAATTAATTTACAATTGTGAGCTTGTAATTTAGAATCAATCTTATTCATTTACATTTTATTGTTTCATTTTATTGGAAATTGTAATTTGAAAATTAGTGATGTAATTTACCAAAATCAGAGAATTATGAGGCCAAATAACATACGGAATATAGACAACCCGTGAGAAACTCATGAAATCGACCTTTTCTTTTTTTTTTTTTTTTTGGTGCAGCATTGATATTAACGACAATCTATGATAAAAACTGTCATTAAAAAGCAACCATAGACTATAATTTATGAAGAAACCGTCGTCAAATCAAGGCCTGGACGCACCTTTTGGTCTTGATTTTTTAATTTAGTGACAGTTTTAAATCATCGTTAAAAGTTTTATACATTTAACAACTCCCAATAGAACATTTGCCTAACTGCCTATAGTTGTTCTAGTGAACATTTTAATATGTTTACAACGCTAACCTGATTAGAATTGATTTAACCTGCATTTAAGTGACATATTAACATGTTTAAATCATAATCCAATAATAATTGAATTTAACTTGTAAAACAGGCCCCGCGGATAAAATTGTTATATCCAGTCTTACATTCAAACGCCTTTTATTGTTCCGATCAAAGTTTTCATGCCCCTAAAAACCATTTTAGAAGACAAGTTTTAAGGGGTAATTTTACAAATTCAACCTGAATCTTTTATCCTTTGTTAATGGCTCTTTAGGCTGTCGGTATTATTGACTTCCTAAGTCTAACTGTTCTAAATTATCCTTTAAATAACGTAAAGCATATACTAAAAAGTCAAATCTAAACCATAAAAGAGGAGACTTTAGAGAACGTATGTATAATTTTATGTCCAATTACATAGTTAACGGAAGGATGAGGCCAGGATTTGGGGGCGGAGATTTTGGTGGCGGCAGCCACGACTTCAAGGGTATCCACTGTTAGTTTACCAATCCATTCTAAAAACTTAAGCTTAAAAGTTTAAGCTATTAGGAGGTGGGCCAACAATAATTTTATATTTTAACACTCTCCCTCACGTGTGGGCTGGACAATTGGCAATCGTATGGATAAATTAATTAAAAAGCCCAACACGTGAATATTTAAGCCCGAGATATATTAAAAACCCAACACATGATGACAATTTTAAATGAGGATAAAGAGTGCAATTACGGGGGTTTGAACTCAGGACCTACCGCTCTAATACCATGTTAGTTTACCAATACATCCCAAAAGCTTAAGCTTAAAAGTTTAAATTATTAGGAGGTAGGCTAACAATAATTTTATACTTTAACATCCACGACTTTGACAGCGGTGGAGGTGGTGGTTATAGTGATAGTGGTGGAGGTGGTGGTAGTTTTGTCCGATAAGTATTCACAACTCTTTGCTTCAACAAGTCTATCTCAAGACCGTTTAAAAGATGTTTCTAGCGTGCCACATGAGGCTCACTCAAGTGGTTAGAAACGTGTATAATGCGTCCATCAAGATTTGAATCCTAATAGTTTTATTTTATTTTATGTTTTTTTTTAATCCCAATAATTTTATTTCTCGAGTAATATGACAACCATAGGTCTCACACCACATTAAAAAAATAAATAAATAAATGAGTTGTTTTTAGCATAGCATATATGCTAGAGCTATCTTTGTTTCAACTATTCGTTTGTCAACTACTTGTCTAAATGTGGATTGTAATATTGTTGTACCTAAAATGAATTGAAACAAAAACCTATTGATGACCAATCTGTACAAGGAATCTTATTAATCTTATAAATAATATATCAAAGTTGGCGCCTGAGAAGCTCTATATCAAAATCCTAATCACTGCTTGCCACTTTCACGGTAGACCATTTAGTTGGAGACAATTTCTTATAAGGAAGTTTGTGTGATGCCAAGTTCACAAGAAATTGGTTTTCACATATCATGTTTCTTGGCCACAGCAAAAAATTGGATCATTCTTTTACCAAATAGGTATCTCCAAAAGAATTACAGTTTTTTTTTTTTTTTTTTTTTTTTTTTACATACAAACAAAACCCTCTCCGTTTTTGTTTCTCAATACACCCGTGATTTGCAAATAAATCAAATGAATTCCTTGAGCTCATTAACAGCAAAATCTCAACTCATTCCTGATTAATGATGATGTCAACGCATCAAAACCGAAAATGATGATGTTCAATAATAGGTTAATCTCACATTACTCGAACTAGGTTATGTACCGAAACTGCGGTCTCCCGCGTCTCCAAGTCCAGGAATTATAAACCTGTAATAAAAGAGGGAAAATGATTGATTAGCAAAAAAAGAGGGCAAATGATTAACACAATTTGCAAAACCAAAACACTTGAATAATCACGGAGAGCTACAAAAATTGGGAGGCACTTACCCTTTGTCATTGACAGTGGGATCAATAATTCCAGTGTACACATGAAGCCTGAAAAAAGAGACAGAAATCTTAATCCTGAAAAGTTACCTTCATTTGTCTCGTAATATAAATATAAAATTGGACAAAATAATTACCCCGGGAATTTCTCGCTCAGCTTTTGAAGGGCTGGAGGAGCAGCTACAGCAGATATCTGAGATATAAATCAAGTTTCCTTTAATGGATCTTAGTTTTTAACTAAATACAAGCCAAAAAAATTGATATTTTTCAAATTTATAAAAAATTATAAACTTATTAAACGAACAACAAAATAATATTACAGAAATATGTAAAAGGTCCAGTCCTAACCTAAAATTATAAATATCCTATTTCGGTCCTTTTATATGCTCTAGCCACAGACCAAAAAGGCCCTAACAGAAGACAAGGATAGATTGTAAAAGACTTACCACTTTAATTTGATTGTTTTCAGGCCCACGTTCCTTTATGAGGTTGAGAGCTGCCACTACTGTACCACCTAACATCAAGCATCAAAGGTCTTGAACTCAGATTTCTGCCCATGTAGGACCTTAATCATTTGAAACACAGACTGCAATATGCATGAATATATGCTGTTTTCTGGTACAAAAACCCCGTGAAGTTTAGCCCCCCATTTTAAAAGATAATTGAAACACAGAGTCTTGTCATTCCATGAGGAAAAGTAGAACTTTATGTCCAAAGGATCCGTGCCAAAAAATACAAAGCATGACAAAAGACGATCCAGCAATCTATACCTGTTGCCAGCATAGGATCAACCACAAAAACCCGAGAGCCTTCAGGAAATTTTTCTGGTAGCCTATAAATGATATCACGAGATCTATAAGAAAGTTGCACTAATACTACATGTACTGAGTGAAAAGAAAAGGAAAGGGCACAAAGAATGAAATCTAGAACATTAGCAATTTATCTTAGTGAGACCATGTGTGTTCAGTGACTCTTACTGTTTAAAAAAAAAGGGCAAAAATAATTGTTCAAATTTGTTCAAGAACAAAAGGTAGTAGGAATCACTGAACACAATCAAGAATATATTTCCTCCTTTCAGACAGGGAACTCTTACTTGTTAAGATATACAGTTGGCTGAAGTGTCTCCTCGTCTCTGCTTATCCCTTAATTTGCAAAACAAAATGAAAAAGGGTCAACAAAAACAGTTTCCGGAAGTATCTATCAAGAGATGGAAGTAACGACGAAAATATCTTATAGAAGTATTATTCGCTGAACATTAGTAAGTGAAGTTTTACAACGCATCACAACAAATTCGAGACACCAAATTCATCTTCTCCCCCACCGGCATATATGAACCTTGTATAACATTCTTACCCAGATGGTAAGTCTTTGTTGCCGGCAAAATTGACGGTGCATGCTCTGCAAGGGCTAGACCAGCTCTTAATATTGGAACAACCTGCAGAACCAAAAGAACAAATAAATATATGGTAAATCAAGCATAAAGAGTCTGCACAGTCTAGCACAGTGTTACGATAAATAACCTTGCTTCCTCATAAAGAAAATGCTTGAAAAAATCGCGTAGAACTTAGAAATGCCAAAAACAAATATTAGACTTAGTATAAAAAATTATTATACATCATACAATCACATTAAGAGACCAACATGAAAATAGAAAGTAAGAACACAAAAGGACAATGTAAACTAACCGCCACGGGCTCTCTTGGATCTATGAACTCAACCGAGGCAACATCCATTGGTGTCTGGATCTCTCCGACTACAGTAGGCTGAATCAATAGGAAACCACAGGCATGTAAGAACAGTATTTCTCAACATACTTGTAATGTTTAAGGACCAAAGAGAGAACTCTGAACACTGATCTAACATGAAAAGGAGAAATACCCACTAAGTCAAGCCAGGTCAAACAGTATGGGGGCAGGATGGGGCGGGGCTTGGGTTTACCTATGGAAGGGCACGGGCTTGATTCCCGCTTTGTCTTTAAAAAATTGAATAAAATTTAAAACGAGAAATCCACATTCTGGCTTCATCCCAATAATAGTAGGGGAAAAACACCATAAGTACAACATATTATTGAATAGAACACAAAAAGTAAATAATATGTGATCAATTATGTCTTGAATAATAAAAAAGAAAAACAAAATTCCAAAACATTGTAGCTACAATCATTGATCATGTCTATGAGGGAATGTAACAACTAACCAACCAATCCCTTGAAGCTTCATATACGAGTATCCTCCCCAATTCAGCCATTGCATTTCCTATAATTCCAAGTTCAAAGCCTTCTAATTATAATTATTGCATTTTTCACACCACCACAAAAATATCCAATTATATTATCACTTACTGAAGATGGGACATGGAGTTTGCTCATTTCTTAAAACCGAAACCCAATGCTTTATCAATGGATGTGGCGGGACAAATACCTGGAAAAAAAAAAATGTCAATTATTTAACCTTTTCAATAAATCAACATTCAGATAAGACCAAAAAAAAAAAAAAAAGTGACAAAATCTTCTTTCTTGTTCTTTTTTCTATATTTTACTAAAACCTAAGGGTTTAATATTTAGGAGTGAACTAACAAGCATTCGGTCCTCAGAAATCGGCTTCTCTCCAGTGGCCATGCGAGACTTCACGGTAGCGAAGCTACGACGGCGAGCACTGGAATACAAGATCTGCGGGCAGAGGAGGACTGATTAGTAACACTTATAATTAAGGGGGGTTTTGAAAGTGAATAATTGAGAATTAGTGGGACAATTATACAAAGATTTCTCTTTTGTTACCTTTTTGGGAAAGGACGAGGAAGAGTGAGATGGGAGGAGATTAAGAAGGAGAGATTGGGGATTAGGGTTTTGGGAAAAGCATGGTGATGAGACGAAACGGCGCGTATCGGAGGGTGACCGGAGAGAGAATTTAATGGAGTACGCCATGGCCATGGATAATTCATTCATTCGACCTTCGGGGGCGTACGAGAGAATCTCGGGTGGGTGGGTTTGTCGAAAGAGGATGACTCGCTCTGACTATTCCGTATTGGGCTTCTGGCATGGGTTCCAAGGGCCAGATCCACTTTAGTTACCAAATTTAAGCCCGTAAAATGGGAAAAATGAAGCAAATAGCAATATGAACTATTTCTAGAAAATGATGATTTTTATACTCCATGTTTAGAATATGAACAATATTATTAGACTCCGTTTATTTTACTGATTTGAGTTTTATTATAGCAAAAAAAATTTAAAAAATAGTCACATCTAACTTTTTTACTGCAGTAAAAAGCTCTCACATAAAGTCGAATCTCAACTCAAATTAAAAATTTAAATCAGCAAACTAAATAGACCTTTAATCTGTCTATTTTATAGTTATGAAAATAATACTATTCTAAATATTCCTTTTTTTTTTGGTCATTATGGGTGGTTAATGCATGATAAGAATGTCATTACGGTTTCATTTACAGATTTGTGTGCAAATCTCACAATTTGTGGGCATTCATTTTTTTTATTTTCTCCGATGCAAATACTAATGCCAATTGTATATTTGACAATAAAAATATGATAGGACATGTTATTTTCATTCTCCTATGCATAATGTTATTTGAAATACTAAGACCTCATTCATTTTGCCAATTCGAGTTTTCAGTTATAAGTTTTTACAGTTAAAAGCTTTCAGGAAATGTCACATCTAACTTTTTCTGCTACAGTTAAAAGCTTTTAAAAAATGTCACGTCTCAACTCAAATCCGCAAAGAGAACGAGACCTAAAATCTATTTTTCCTATAATTATTAAGTTTTGAAAGTTGTAAAAATAAACTCTTCATTTTTAAATAATTTAAAAAGACAAAAATTGTAATGATTAAATGAAAAAGTAATTATATCAACCAAAAGAATCAAGTGCCAAATATGTCATATATGGTATACTTAGTGGAAAGTTACACAAAGTATAGCATATGATAAATTTAGCACAATAAATAATCTTGCATTGGAGAGTATTTTTTGTACTTAAATGCTAAATTTACAGTTAGCGCATCAATTAAAGCATTGCATTAGAGATGCTCTAACCCTTAGAGTGCATGAGTCTGAATCTAATATAGTTATTTGATTAAAAATGATATTAATCAAGAGTAAAACGTAAAAAATTAGACTCATATACTCTAAGGGGTATTTATGTCCTTTCCTCTAGCATATTTCTTAAGATTTTTAAGTAAGTAACTAAAATGTGCACATCCAAATACAAATTCAAGTTACAACTTTAACTTAAGTTATAACTCAAACTCAACTCAAGATCATCACTCAAGTCACTCTAACTCAAAAATGCAAAAGAACAACCCATATATTTATTGTTAAATGATTTATTTATCCAAAGTAATAAATTATTTATTAGTAAATAAATTATTTACCTCAATAGTGTTCTAAATATGTTATTTACTATAAAAAAAACGTATCAAATATATTATTTAGTATAATTACTGTTTAATTTCAAAGCCCTTTATAATAGACTAAGACCATCTCTAATATAAATATTAATATCAATTATATATATAGCATCGAAAAGTGTGATATGATATGTTATTTTCATATGATCTACTTTTTTCTATAATTTTTAAGTTTTGAAAATTATAAAAATAATCTTTTATGTTTAAAATGATTAAAAAAATACAAAAGTTGCATTGACTACATGAAAAGGTTAACATTTCAACCAATAGTAATTAAATGTCAAACTTCTAATATGTTATACTTAGTAGAAAATTTGCCACAAAATATAACATATGGGAATTTTTGGCACAACAAATAACATTACATTGGAGAGTTTTTTTACACTTAAATGCTAAATTTACAATTAACACGTCAATTATAGCATTGCATTAAAGATACCGTGAGGAACACAGCTTTTGTGCCAAGTTTGATAGAGGTGAAAAGTGTTAGGAAGAAAAGAATGTAAGGATTTTTGAAGAGAAAATAAAACTATGAGTTGTTTGGTAGGAGAGAAGTGAATAGGACAAAATTGAAGAGATAAAAAGCCCAATGCGTCTAACCATTTATATTCCTTGGAAAATGTGAGATTTTGAAAAGAAAAAGTTGTTCTACTTGTGGGAAAAAAAAATATTCTTGTATAAATAGCCAATTTACTTTTTGACCTTATTTTAAAACTAATATAACATTAATAAATTGGTAAAACATTCATTTACTTGATCATCTATTGTATGACCCGCCTCATTTACCAAACAAGATAAAAGGAAAAACAACCTCCTTTCTATCATTAACATTTTCTATTCTTTTTCCTATTTTCTTTCCTTCCCCTAGAGAAATAAAAAGGGTGATAAATAACATTTTGTTGAGCGTAATGAAAACAAAGAGCATAAAATGTATATAAGTTAGTAAATAGTGCTAAATTCTTTAGCAAAAGAAAAAAATAATAGTAAATTTTGAAGGTTGATTTAGTACTTGAATCAGTAGGAATTATGATTCATGAATTTGTAATATGAATTACTGTTCATTAAAGAATCAATGGTACTCCAGGATAAAGATGTAATTAGAAAGGTTAACGAATTTCACCTAACTCTAATTATGAATTATTTATGAAGGATTGATCCATATGCAATTATTATATCAAATAGACACTTTACAGTTTAGAAATAATTTATGTCTATAATTACGAGAATGCAATTCTAAATTTATAATGGAGTAACTATTAGAATTAATAGAATTAATTAATCAAATATACCCTAAATTATATACTCTAATCAATATTTACTAAATTTGATTTAGATGACATTTACTAATTTTTTAGTTAATAAACTCATATTTACCCATACAAATCTTCTTTTAGAACTAAAGCTATAATCTATTTATAATTGTAGGAAATATGTATTTATTATCGGGATTCAAAATTAAAGACTTATTTATTTACACTCAAACTAAAAAAAAAAAAAAATTAAACTCAAATTACAACTTTATTCAAGTTTATGTTCTTTAGTAAAATTTGAGTTTGAACTTGAGTTTAGGCCTAAAATTTGAGTTCAAGTTCCCTATTCAACTCAAGTTCTTAAACTCAAATTCAATTTAATGAACAATTTTTTTCTATTATTAAAAATGTTATAATTTTTTCGTTTTAATTCCGATTAAGGTGATTTTTTTTATGCGTTCACAAAAGAAAAAGACGAATAAAACCTCACGCATATACTATATTAAAATTTTTCATCACCATTAAGTTTTTATTAAAATACTATCCAAATATAAATTTAAATTTTGATTCACTTAAACACAAATTCAAATAGATTCTCAATTCAAACCATAACTCAAAATGTGCACGTCTAAACACAAACTCAAATTAAAATCTCAACTCAAACCAAACTCAAATACACCTTAACTCAAATTAAGATCTGAACTCAAATTACTCAAACTCAAAAAATGTAAATGAACAGATTCGTTATTAGCTACAAGAGAAGGTATTAGTAAAAAACTATAATTTATTTTTGTAAAAAATTTCTAATTTATAGATAAAAATAGCATAGGTAAATAACTAGACTTGATTTCAAAAGTACTAGCCAAATCACAGATGATTTTCGCAGATGGAATACACTCTTCATACTCGTGCAGATACTTCGCCCTTTTCTGTATATTAAGAAACATCAACTCCGTAATATATAAGAGAGATTCTAAAGAACGGAAAGAATCGTCAGTTAACTTAGTTTCATCTCTCAAAATAAATCCGTCTCCTCCAAATAGATGATAAAAGGATTTTATTTTATTTTATTTTTCTATTTACCCAGAAACACAAAACGTGAAGCTGTTTTTCTCACATATACTCAAAACTCCGTAAAAAAGAAATGAAAAAAAAAAAACGAAAGACAACAATTAAAATAAATTTAAAATATGTTTAATTTATTAATTTAAATTTTTAATTTAAATTAAAATATAATTTTATGTAAACAAATTTTATTATGATAAAAAAATTAAATACAAGTTTTTAAAAAAATTTATTATAATAAATTTTAAATTTTAAATTTAAATCAGTAAAATAACTTACGATCCGTTCATTTTGGTGATTCGAGTTTGTAATTCGAGTTGAAATTTAATTTTGTGTGAGAATTTTTTACTGTAGTAAAAAAATTAAATGTGACTGTTTCTAAAATTTTTTTACTATAACAAAACTCGAATTCTAAACTCGAATCGGTAAAATAAACGGAGTCTTAATGTAACAATCCTCTCTGGGACAAAAAGAAATAAGAAACGAAATTCTAAGAATGTATTGAATCTGATATCTTATTTAAAAATAAAAAAACTAGACGCTTCTTCCAACATTGTTGTTGATCACCGTAGAAAGCCATTTTGAAGCTTTATCTCGAAGCTGCCATCGCCGAAAGCTCGATCACACCAGATCTGGTGGATGATGGTTGCGACGCCGATGCCGGAGGGAGACGCTGGGACGCCGGGTAAGATGCGAACAGGCCGCGCCCCCTGCCATCTCTAGATCTCGGCTTGAAGCACCGATCCTCCGCCACAACATCTCACCGTCGTCGCCGCACCCACTCCCCCGGAAGATTCCGGTGTCGCAGCGGCCTCCTGATTTATGTCGCAGCGGCCTCCATTTGTTCACTAGGTGGGGCCCATAGTGAAAAGTTTGTTAGGGGTAAAAGAAAAATGAGGCCCACAAACATTTGTTACAAAGATACACCGGTTTTGTAAAGAATAATGAGACCCACAAAAACTCTATGTCAGCAGCCTACTGCAGGTGTCCTTTAATTCGTAAATTTGAGTTTTTAAATTTAATTAAAATATAATTTTATCATATTTTTTTATTATAATAAAAAAATTAAATACAAAGATACACCGGTTTTGTAAAGAATAATGAGACCCACAAAAACTCTATGTCAGCAGCCTACTGCAGGTGTCCTTTAATTCCTAAATTTGAGTTTTTAAATTTAATTAAAATATAATTTTATGTCATATTTTTTTATTATAATAAAAAAATTAAATATATTTTTTTATAAAAACTTTTAATTATAATAAAATTAAAATTAAAAATTTAAATTAGTGAAATGAATGAGACCTACATTATT